GGATAATGCTATAAAAAAGGAGCACAAAGACGACCTTTGACCTCCCTGAGGCTTTCCCTAAAGCCGCCCTTGCTAACTTAAAGGGATAATAAGTGTTCATTTTGGTACCACCAAAAAAAAAAAAATAATAATAATTTATAGTTAAATGCTTATATAGGTTCATGTATACGTTCTTTATTTACAGAAAATTGAAGGCAGAGTTAGCCATCGTATATCGGTCGCCAAATGAATCAAACAGCGACTACTGCAACGTAACGTTTGACAATCCTGGCTACGCGACCCCGACGCCACTAGCGACGAATGTTCAAGCCATACCAAACAATCTTCGCACAGTACCTGCAGGAAGCAGCGCTGGAGAGAAGAACGAAAACATCTCAACTCCACTGGCCGTCCAAGAGAAGCCACAAAATGTAAATCCAGAATATGCGACGCCGTCTGGTGTCAGTGTTAGGCCTAAGAGCGAGAATCCCGGATATGAGACTCCCGTGAATGTTAACCTAAGGTCTAGTTATGATAATCCAGGGTACATAGACCCAGATGAAATAAAGTTTTCCACAGCTGACGACAAACTGGAGTTTGATTCCCTTGCGTCCGACGATGATTTCATGCTCGACAAGGGAAAACGTTAGTTCATATACCGAATGTTCTATCGGGCTTGAGGTGTACTGTAACTTACAGTTAGATGTATGTTCCTCAGGCCCGTAGCCGTAGTTGATCATGTACTCGAGGATTTTATGGTAAAAGGTCCACTTTTTGAGAAAACGAACCTCCCTTTGAAATTGCTGGCTACGGGCCTGTTCCTATTTAAAACTGATATTCAAAATTAATGAATTGCTATTTTCACGTACTTGCTCGGCGGCAATCGTGTAAATACAATGTAGATTTCAAGTAAGTAGAAGTTGATTCTCTCATATAATAACATAAGATGTGTCACACTTAAATCCATTGCATGTAAGACGTAGTAATATCTATATGGTAAAATAACCCATTATTTACTTATATTGAAGACATTGATGTATCTACTGGTATATATAACAGGTGGTATGATGGAGAGTATAAGATATTAGAATTTCCCGAGAAGAATGGTAGAGATTACTGCACACGTGATCATGAAAATCGGCAATACTGATCCAACTTCTCTTTACAACGATTTATTTGCAGCATGGCAGTTTAATTTGTCCAGATGGGCGGCAGGGGCCGGGGGGAGGGGATGGGGGTAGTCATCCTGAGTTTCATTGTTCACTGGAATCTACACGCCACTTCTAATACTGTATATACATGATAGAGGTTAGTATTCTTTAAGTTCTGAACCCCAGAGTGAATAGAACCACAGAAAACTAAAAGTGAAAATCAAAAAGATGACCTCTTAAAGTTATTTTTTCTTCTCTTTTTGTGACTTTTTTGATGGGGTTACTATTTGTTTCATGACTTGGAGCTGGACTTCAATATTAGTGTAGCTCTTATTGCTAATATTTTTGAATAAAGAAATCTTTCAGTCACACTACAGGCGTTGTTTATCAATTGACTGTTTCCTGTCGTGATATTTTGGCAATTCATGAGCTTGAACGCGCGCAGTTTGAGGTACAATACTACTTGGGTGCGGGACTCAAATACGCGTGACGTAATGCGTTTTAAAAATATTTTTAAGGATTTTTAAAAATATATTTATATTTTGCTCTATACAAATACAAATTAGACACTGTTTCTAAAAATGGTTGTCACACCTAAAAATATATTGATTTTGTTACAAAAGTCAACATTTTTTTATTATACAGTTGTGGCGTTGCAGACATTATAACACATGGAACAGAAACAAAAAATGGTTATATTGCACATTTCCTGTTAATAAAATGGGTTATTCAATATGGGCCATGAAAATGAGTTCTTTTGAATGCAGATTGTATTTTAAAAAACAAAAACGCTTTTAATGCACCATGGAATGTTATACTTAGTATAAAAACGCACACACAGAAAGTGTGATCATGAAAATCGCCAGATGCGACACAGAAATAAAGAAGAGAATCGCTTTGTCTAAAGACACATTCACCAAGGTGAGGCCCTTCTTCACCAACAGAAATATAAGACTCAGCACAAAAATCAACACTCTGAAAGCCTACATATGGTCCATCCTACTGTACGGATGTGAATGCTGGACGCTAACAAAAGACCTCGAAAGAAGACTTCAAGCAGCAGAAATGTGGTATATCAGAAGAATTATGAGAATATCATGGACTGAAAAGAAGTCAAACGAAGAAGTTATGGAAATGGGTGGGTGCAAAAGATCCCTACTCAGAACCATCAGAAAAAGACAACTACAAATTTTTGGGTACATAATCAGAGCTGATGGAATAGAAAAGCAAATACTGTGTGGAAAGATTTGTGGTACCAAAAGCAGAGGAAGACAACGCACAAAATACACAGACAGTCTGAATAGCCTCGCAACGAGGAAAGAATCCCCCAACAATGAACTCATCAGGAGAACTGACAACAGAGAGGAATGGAAGGCCATGATCGCCGATGTCTGCAACAGACTTGGCACATGCAGAAGAAGTTCAGATACTAGGATGTTTTCATACGGTAGTATATGGAATATGTATGACCTAATTGTGGATATATATATATATATATATATATATATATATATATATCAAAGAAAATCGAAGTATCATATTTGCTTTTGTCTAGGGGGTCAACTAATAAAAACATTTAAATCGATGTTCATCGTTTTTTCAATTATAAAATAAAGTCACATGACATCATCCATTTACCCGAAGTACTGCAGCTCGTTCCCTTACCCACTCCCATTTTTATATGACCACATGAGGACAAGTGGACGATAGCACACACACACACAACAGAGCGGTCTTTCCTGACTCGATTTCTGGTACATTTTCTTTACTTCTGTTTGCAAGTAAAACGACCCATTCGCTGACGGCCTTCACATGGGTATTGTAGAAAACTGGATTAATCTGTGAAAACTTCATTGTTCGTTCCAGTGCACGACTGTTAGGTTTCTGTTCAGCATATCCTGTTCACATGATGGTTATGTGTTAACTCATGCTTCTTTACCATCCTTCTTGTCCTATAGCCATGCCGGACGAGTCTCCTGTTCACTAATTGGCGGGAAAGACGAAGCCCGTGATTCTGACGCAGTGGTAATGGCAGATTTAGTGCTGGTTCTTCTGGCAATGTTGATCATGGTAAGTAGGCCTACGAGACAGCGGCACGGAGATGACCTGTGGATTTGTCAGTAGCTACACTTTTGGTTGCAGCTCTCCTCTGAAGTTCGCCTTGAATCGCCAGGCCCATTTTTTCAGAGGCCCATTTTACTGAATGCAGCTGTCGTATCCCCAAGACCATTGTCAGTCGGTCCTGGTATGGAAAAAGCAACAATTAAACACCCATTGTTACAGACGTCACATTTTAGCCTTTATGACTTTGTAACAAATAAACAAAACCCCCTGAAGATAGAATGAAACCGGTCGGGGCAAAATAGCTGATGTTCTTTTTTTCTTTTTATTATATATAATATATACTCGTAGAGGAAAAGCACTTTTACTTTTAATATATATATATATATATATATATATATATATATATATATATATATAGAGAGAGAGAGAGAGAGAGAGAGAGAGAGAGAGAGATGTACTAAATCAGTCTGTTTGCTTCATCTTAATTGTGTCCTACAGCCGTTTCGGCCCAGAGGCCTCATCTGGGGCGCAAACAGATCATTAATATTTATCTACAACCCGCAACTGTATAAACTGTATAATGCTGGTGGTAGGCTTTTTAAGGCTGTATTCCCAGAGCTTTTAGATCGATCTATCCCCGCGGGGAGTCTCACTAGTAGATTACTGTCAGATAATCCGGCTTAAATGTCCGTCCCGCCTACTACAAGCTGTAAGGGGGTAATTAACATTCGTGTCCGCTCGGCTGACAGCTATTTAGCGTGAACCCCCAGGGAGTTAGGTCGATCTAATCTCTGGAAATGGGGTCTAAGTCATCAGAAGGAAAGCGGTGAAATAAGTTGGTACTGCACGGCGCGGGTTATAAAGCACCATGTCAGGACTGAAATGGAAGCCTGCGATCCTTATGATAGTTTGCATACTTACAGGCAGTATTGTATTTTATTTCCTGGTAGTTAGAAGCAAACCCTCCATAGATCTCAGAGGTGGAAATCGACATATTTCTTACGCAAGGGACTCTACCATTAAACCGTAAGTTGAAATATCTTCATACTTATACGAAAGTTCTTGTGAAACAAATCAACGGTTTTCTGAACACATATTTTGAAATAAGGACTAATATAAACGCCTTAAGAGAAAAATTGAAATCATTACGTAATGGCCTCGTTTAATACCTACGTCAACTGCATACAGTTTGTCTATCTTAGAAATAATTAAAAAGAAACATTTTATTTATTGATTAACTTCTCTTTATGGATAGGATTGCAGTTTAGGTGGCTTCAAAGTAATTTTTCGTGTAAGGGAATATTTCGAAGCATCGTCTTTGGCTTGCATCAGGCATCAGCAGTGGTCTTACAATGTAACAGCAAAATTCTGAGACTGAAATTGACAACATGTTGCTAGCTTGGTTTTGTTTTCGCCCCTGACGAGGCCTCAGGGCCGAAACGGCCGTAGGGCATTTTTTTAATAAATATATATTTTTAATATATATATATATATATATATATATATATATATATATATATATATATATATATATATATAAAGAGAGAGAGAGAGAGATAAAATGTACTAAATTAGTCTGTTTGCTTCGTGTGTTAATTGTATAATAAATATATATTTTTAATATATATATATATATATGAAGAGAGAGAGAGAGAGATAAAATGTGCTAAATTAGTCTGTTTGCTTCGTGTGTTAATTGTGTCCTACAGCCGTTTCGCCCGGAGGCCTCATCTGGGGAGCAAACAGATCATTAATATTTATCTACAACCTGCAACTGTATAAACTTAATGCTGGTGGTAGGTAATTGTTAGTCATCAGTACGAAAGCAGTGAAATAAGTTGGTACTGCACGGCGCGGGTTATAAAGCACCATGTCAGGACTGAAATGGAAACTTGCGATCCTTATGATAGTTTGCATATTTACAGGCAGTATTGTATTTTATTTCCTGGGAGTTAGAAGCAAACACTCCATCGACCTCAGAGGTGGAAATCGACGTATTTCTTACGAAGGGGATTCTACCATTAAGGCGTAAGTTGAAAAAAATCTTCATACTTTTATGAAAGTCCTTGTGAAATAAACAAACGGTTTTCTGAACACATATTTTTTAATAAGGACTAATATAAACGCCTTACGTCAAAAATAATTCAAATCATTACGTAATGGCCTCGATTAATATCTACGTCGTCTACGTCTATCTTAGAAATAATTAAAAAGAAACGCATTATTTATTGATTAACTTCTCTTTATAGATAGGACTGCAATTTAGGTGGCTTCAAAGTCATTTTTCGTGTATGGGAACATTTCGAAGCATCGTCTTTGGCTTGCGTCAGGCATTAGCAGTGATTCTCCTACAATGTAAAAGCAAAACTGACAATGAAATCACCCCAACGTTCGTTTTCATTAATTTTATGCAATTTCTTTCAAGGTCTAAGCCGGGATGCTTAATCGGAGACTTGAAGAACTCCTTAGTATATTGGTCTGGTCGAAATGTTGATACGGAATTACGTCTAACAACCGGAAATTGGTCATCTTCGAACTCCTATCTACAGACGTCATGTACGCCCAACAAACACATCGTCTTCGTGAAAATACCAAAAACTGGTTCGACCACCGTTGCCAGCGTTTTTCTTCGCTATGGTTTTCGTAATGATTTGAAAGTTGTCCTCCCTGCTACCCAGAACACACTCCTTAGACTGAAGCAATCGGAATATGACATCATGAGGGATGAATATGACAAAAATCCTCACTATGATATAATGACACACCATAGTAAATACGACCGAAAGGCAGTGGAGAAACTGATGCCTTTGGATTCAGTCTATGTTGTTATGCTGAGAGAACCAGTAAGTCGTTTCAAGTCTGCTTTCAATTACTTCCGCGTCAGTAAAAAGTTTGGTATTCAGGGCAAAAATCAGTTAAAAACATATCTCAGCACCCCTAAATTTTATAACTCCAAACAATCTGGGTTGTTATTCAACGCAATGATTAATTATTTGGGATATTCTACTGCGACAACTTCAGTGCAAAACTTCATCAACGAGATAGATCGGGATTTTGATTATGTTTTGATAATGGAATACACGGACGAGGGGTTGGTGATGCTGAAACGCAGGTTTTGCTGGGATATTGGAGATGTCATATACCTCAAAATACACGAAGTCAAGCGCAAAAACTACCAAGAACTGATAAAAGGAAACACAGACCCGGAAATACCCGAAAAGCTGCGTAAATTCAGTGAAGAAGATTTCTTGCTGTATGACTATTTCAGGAGAAAATTTGAAAACATACTTCACAAGCAGAATGCGGATTTCTTTGAAGAAGTTCAATTTTTGAGAGAAGTTAACAGAAAAATTGCAGCCTTTTGTAGCTCCAAGTCTGACACAACTTTAGACATTGTGCCATGTCGCTGGACCCGTGGGTTTACAATTCACAAACCGTACTGCAAATTGATGATGATTGCAAACAGGCCATTTTCGGTTTTATTGAAGAGTAGTTATTTCAAAGGTATCTTTAATGACATTATACTTCCTAAAGTATGATTTATATGGGACTACTAACATTATATTAAAAAAAGAAACAAAGGGGAAACTGCTCCATTTGAACAACTTTCCGTGTTTGGATACATTTCCCTTAATGCTAATACCTTACATATTACGTTGTGTAATTGTTTAGATTGTTTAACATGTGTAATTGTTTATATTGTTTAACTAACATCATATCATAGACTCAAAATTGCATTGTTTATTATTTTATTTTTGCAAAATTCAAGTTTTGTTTTAAACAAAGTATTTAATTCCATGTCCTCAAGGAGGGCCTTGTGGGAGATAGGTGCCGCCTAACATCGTTCGACCCTCTAAAATTAAACATTTTGTCATTCAATCTACCAAACTATCGTGCAGTATCTCATCTGTCATAGATAACTGACATATTTATCTTCCAGGATTGTTTGAACTCGATATGCCATAGTATTGGGTATCTGTTGCCTTACGATTCTACCTATCTCTCATTTGTTCTTTTTTAAATGGTCCAGTTTAAATGATAGCATCAGAAAATGTCAAAGTCCGACTCATTTTATGCTAAATTCCACCCTTTATATTTTCTACGTGTTCAGATACTAGGATGCTTTCATACTGTGGTATATGGCATATGTATGGCCTAACTGTGGAAGCCCGTGTCATATTATTCATATAAGCTTGCCACAGAAAGAGTTGTTCCTGGAAGTTACGAGCTTGCATTGCTAAACACTGTAACGATAACGGAGGTATATATATAGAAAACAATTTATAGACGTCTCAAAGAAAATCGAAGTATTATCTTTGCTTTAGTTTCGTGTGTAGGGCGTGAATCAATAAAACATTTAAATCGATGTTCATCGTTTTTTTAATTTTTTTAAAAAGTCACATGACATCATCCATTTACCCTTACCCACTCCTATTTTTATATGATCACATGAGGACAAGTGGACAATAGCACACACAACAGAGCGGTATTTCCTGCCTCGATTTCTGGTACATTTTCTTGTAACTTCTGTTCGCAAGTAAGACGACGCATTCGCAGACAGCCATCACATGGGTATTGTAGAAAACTGGATTCATCTGTGAAGACTTCATTGTTCCAGTGTACGACTGTTAGGTTTCCGTTCAGCATATCCTGTTCACGTGATGGTTATGTATTAACTCAGGCTTCTTAACAATCCTTCTTGTCCTGTAGCCATGCCGGACGAGTCTCCTGTTCACTATTTGGCGGGAAAGATGAAGCAAATTATGAGCCCGTGATTCTGACGCAATGGTAATGGCAGATTTAGTGCGGGTTCTTCTGGCAATGTTGATCATGGTAAGATCAGTACGGGCCAGCGGCACCGAGATGACCTGTGGATTTGTCAATAGCTACACTTTTGGTTGCAACTCTCCTCTGGAGTACTCTAAAACAGTTTGCCATGAAACGCCAGGCCCTCTGGCAATGTCGGTTTTTCTGAGGCCATTTTCATTGAATGCGGCTATCCTCAAGACCATTGTCAGTCGGTCCTGGTATAACTTCTGCTAAAGTTTGGTGGAGGTAAGATTACCACAATCCTATTTGTATCAAGGCAAAACATCCCTTATATAGCTAAGCTAGCAACTTTCTCTCGCATCCCCAACACGCCCTTAACTGAACTTTGGAGCTGCCGTTTAAATGTGCTAATATTTGTCTTAGTAATGCCAAATAATCAGTGCACACACACACACACACACACACACACACACACAGAGAGAGAGAGAGAGAGAGAGAGAGAGAGAGGAAGAGAAAAGTAGTAAATCAGTCTGTTTGCTGCATGTTTATTGTGCCCAACAGTCGTTTCGGTCCGGAGGCCTCATCCGGGGAGCAAACAGATCATTAATATTTATCTACAACCGGCAAATGTATAAATTTAATGCTGGTGGTAGGTAATTGCTAGTTATCAGAAGGCAACCAGTCAAACAAGCTGGTATTGCAAAGGGAGGGTTATTAAACACCATTCAGGACTGAAATGGAAGTTTGCGGTCTTTATGATGGTTTGCATATTTATAGGCAGTGGTGCATTTTATTTTCTGGGAGTTAAAAGGAAACTCTCCATAGACCTAAGAGGTGGAAATCGACGTATTTCTTACGCAGGGGACTCTACCGTTAAGGCGTAAGTTGAAAAAATCTTCATACTATTATGGAAGTTCTTGTGAAATAAAGAAACGGTTTTCTGAACACATTTTTATATAAGTACTAATATAAACGCCTTACGTGAAAAATAATTAAAATCATTACGTTATGGCCTTGTTTAATTCCTACGTCGACTGAATACGTCTATCTTAGAAATAATTAAAAAGAAACTCATTATTTATTAATGAACATCCCTTTACAGATAGGATTGGAATTTAGGTGGCTTCAAAGTCACTTTTTGCTACATTGATTGTAGCTCTCCTCTGAAATTCACCTTGAAATTCCAGGCCCTCTGGCAATGTCGGGTTTCCTGAGGCCCATTTCACTGAATGCAGCTGTCTGATCCCCAAGACCATTGTCAGTCGGTCCTGGTATGGCTTCTGCTAAGGTTTAGTGGCGTTCAGATAAGAACAATGCAATTTGTATGAAGGCAAAAACTTCCCTTACATAACCAAGCTAACAACATGTTCGTTTTGGCATATCCACCACACCCTTAACTTTACTTGGAGCTGCCATACCTTTAAATGTGCCCGTATTGTACTTAGTAATGTCAAATGATCAGTGCAAATAGATATATATTTAGAGAGAGAGAGAGAGAGAGAGAGAGAGACTTAATGCTGGTGGTAGGTCATTGCTAGTCTTCAGAAGGAAGGTATTGAAATAAGTTGGTACTGCACGGCGCGGGTTATAAAGCACCATGTCAGGACTGAAATGGAAGCTTGCGATCCTTATGATAGTTTGCATATTTACAGGCAGTATTGTATTTTATTTCCTGGGAGTTAGAAGCAAACCCTCCATAGACCTAAGAGGTGGAAATCGACGTATTTCTTACGCAGGGGACTCTACCATTAAGGCGTAAGTTGAAAAAATCTTCATACTATTATGGAAGTTCTTGTGAAATAAAGAAACGGTTTTCTGAACACATTTTTATATAAGGGCTAATATAAACGCCAATGTGAAAAATAATTAAAATCATTACGATATGGCCTCGATTAATGCCTACGTCGACTGCATACGTCTATCTTAGAAATAATTAAAAAGAAAATATTATTTATTGATTAACTTCTCTTTATAGGTAGGATTGGAATTTAGGTGGCTTCAAAGTCACTTTTTCGTGTATGGGAACATTTCGAAACATCGTCTTTGGCTTGCGTCAGGCATTAACAGTGATTCTCCTACAATGTAAAAGCAAAACTGACAATGAAATCACCCCAATGTTCGTTTTCATTAAATTTATGCAATTTCTTTCAAGGTCTAAGCCGGGATGCTTAATCGGAGACTTGAAGAACTCCTTAGTTTATTGGTCTGGTCGAAATGTTGATTCAGAATTAAGTCCAACCACCGGAAATAGGTCATCTTCGAACTCCTATCTACAGACGACATGTACACCCAACAAACACATCGTCTTCGTGAAAATACCAAAAACTGGTTCGACCACCGTTGCCAGCGTGTTTCTTCGCTATGGTTTTCGTAATGATTTGAAAGTTGTCCTCCCTGCTACCCAGAACAAACTCCTTAGACTGAAGCAATCGGAATATGACATTATGAGGGATGAATATGACAAAAATCCGCACTACGATATAATGACACACCACAGCGAATACGAACGAAAGGCAGTGGAGAGACTGATGCCTTCGGATTCAGTCTATGCTGTTATGCTGAGAGAACCAGTACGTCGTTTCAAATCTGCTTTTAGTTTCTTCGGTGTCAATAAAAAGTTGCGTCTTCGAGGCAAAAATCAGCTAAAAACATATCTCAATACCCCTGCATTATATAAATCCAAACATTCGGAGTTGCTATTCAACGTCATGATTAATTATTTGGGATATTCTTCTTCGAAAACTTCAGTGCAAAACTTCATCAACGATATAGATCGGGATTTTGATTATGTTTTAATAATGGAATACACGGACGAGGGGTTGGTGATGCTGAAACGCAGGTTTTGCTGGGATATTGGAGATGTCATATACCTCAAAATACACGAAATCAAGCGCAAAGACTACCAAGAACTGATTAAAGGAAACACGGACCCAGAAATACCCGAAAAGTTGCGTAAATTCAGTGAAGAAGATTTCTTGCTGTATGACTATTTCAGAAGAAAATTTGAAAACATACTTCACAAGCAGAATGCGGATTTCTTTGAAGAAGTTCAGTTTTTGAAAGAAGTCAACAGAAAAATTGCAGCCTTTTGTAGCTCCAAGTCTGACACAACCTTAGACGTTTTGCCATGTCGTTGGACCCGTGGGTTTACAATACACAAACCGTACTGTAAATTGATGATGATTGCAAACAGGCAATTTTCGGTTTTATTGAAGAGTAGTTATTACAAAGGTATCTTTAATGACATTATACTTCCTAAATTATGATTTATATGAGACTACTTACATTATGTCAAAAAAAAAAAAAAGAAACAAAGGGAGAAACTGGTCCAAATCAATCTATCGAGCAATATCTCATTTGTTATAGTTTACTGACATGTTTGATCTTCCAGTATTTTTTGAACCCGTTTTTGCAATAGAATTGAGACACTGTTGCCTTAAAAATCTCTCTATCTCTCATTTAGTCTTATTATAAATGGTCCAATTTAAATGATAGCATCAGAAAATGTCAACATTAGCCTCTGTCTATGCTAAATGGTGTCCTTTATATTTTCTACATGTTTTAAATAGGGGAATAATAATCGCAAACAAAATAGAATGGGATTCGCAGAAGGGCGACAAAAATAGCATTCCTGATGTTAAATAAAGAAAGGGGTGTTTGGAATACAAATATAGCCTTATACACACGTCTCACGTCATCAGAAATTGGCACTGCAGCGGTCCCGGGTCTCCAGAATATTTCACCCCTCCTGATATATGAATAGGAATATTAATATAACCATGGCCCTGTTTATTTGTGTATGAATAACCTGCTGATGGATGGGCTACCTGACAATGACAGTAGAACGGGTTCAGATGCCATTATAATTGGAGCTATTGGGACAACAGTTTGTCGTGATGGTGGCGGTCAGGCATGTGCATAGTAAGTGTGCACGGTTACAGACATTCCTGCTGCAGCATGTAGCGTTTATAAGGTACAGGTTCTAGGATGCTTTCATACTGTGGTATATGGCATACGTATGGCCTAATTGTGGAAGCCCGTGTCATATTATTCATATAAGCTTGCCACAGAAAGAGTTGTTCCTCGAAGTTACGACCTTGCATTGCTAAACACAGTAACGATAACGGCGGTATATATTGAAAACAATATCTAAACGTCTCAAAGAAAATCGAAGTATTATATTTGCTTTAGTTTCGTGTTTACGGGTCAATTAATACAAAGTTTAAATCGATGTTCATCGTTTTTTTTTTTTAATTTTTTAAAAAGTCACATGACATCATCCATTTACCCGAAGTACTGCAGCTCGTTCCCTTACCCACTCCCCTTTTTATATGATCACATGAGGACAAGTGGACGATATCACACACAACAGAGCAGCGGTCTTTTCCACTGGGCGTGTTGGGACGCTTTTGAAATTTTCGTCACTGTCATAATTTGAGCCCCAGCACAGGAAATTTGTTATTCTTTTCGTCGCACCTTACCAGACTTGAACACGGAGCATCAGGTCTACTCCCCGTGACTGTGTACATATTTTCTGTCATTCATAGCCTCGGACAAATAGAGGGACTGTGCGTTTTTCGACAATTCACACATTTTGGATACTCATAATAATTTTTGTGCGATGCGTGGAATTATTTGATGCGTTACATTGCCTTTTTGTCTCGGATTGCGACTGAGAAAAACTGGATTGGATTGGATCGAATGCTCGTGTTATAAAAGTACTTTTATCTCACAAGGTCTATGAATTTGTGCTGCATTTAAAACACTCGACTCATCGTTGAGCATCTGGCTTTTACCTTTTGCACTACTTCCGATCAGAAGACGCAGGCTACAGCACCATACAGGGTGCCCTTGTAGGCCGAATAATAGAAAATTGAATAGATTTTGCGGAATTATATACTACGATTGCAACAGAACAGTTGTTGAAAAAGAAAACTGCGCTTGTTTAGCTGTTTGCCATGGAAGTGTCTTATATTAAACTTTACTCAGTTTTTGCGTTGCTTCTTAGGATTTCTGTTCATGGGCAAGGTAAGTGCTCGTATCAATCTTTCAGCAATTTTTGTTTTCGTGGACAAAATGTTTTTGTTTCGGGTTTGCTTTTTATTACAAGTTCAAGAAAAAAGTATTTTTTTTCTATATTGATTGCGTGTTTTCATTATAGATTATTATAGGTTATTATTAAACATTATTTAACGACGGGTCATGTATATTTTAGACGAAAATTAAAGCCACTTCAAGACAGGATAAGGTCATCCCTACCAATGCAAGATGAAGTGATTCAATGTGTGTTTGTTTGTGTGTCAGATAGAGAGAGAGGGGGGTCTGAGAGAGAGAGAGAGAGAGAGAAAGAGAGAACCGGTGTTACTAAATAAACCATAAACATATCAACATTTCTAAGGCCCTATAGTATAGCGTTTACATCTTCATTCCCCATACTGACATCTTATTGTCTTAATGCCAAACACTCGGCCCCCAGCACGGGCCTGTATGCCACCTATCAAAAAACGCTTTCTTCTAGCCGTACATGTAATTTCAACCGTCACGAAGATGTTTATGAATCATACATGCTCCGCACCTATATTATATGTTGCATATGGAGCTATGACAGCCACCTGTCATAAGTTTAAACGATTTGAAAGTGGATGCCTCCTTCGGTGCCGTAATCCCCGGGTCAGTGACGACCAGGTATGAGAAGGTGCGTGGCTATAGCGGTGTCCAGTTGGACCTTTAGCCTCTGTTACGTAGGCCAAATGAACGCTTGGAGAACGATTTTTTTTGCATTCATAGTTTATGCTTTGCTATTATTTGATGACCAAGATCAAATCTATCTAAATTATCTAGTTAAAAACTTTAGATATTGCAAACGTTTTTGTTGCTGCATTTGTGAGAGGGGGTCAAAATTCGTTCGATTTAAACAGAGCCAGGCGTGAGAAAAAATAAGCTTTTGTCCCCTTCACCATATATGAATATAAACACACGTGAAATGCATACAGCGTCACATACACTCGTACATGTAATTTTTTTATGATTATCTGTTCTACTTTTCTATTGTATTGAAGTCAGTGACAGAGACAGGTGCCCTCCCAGGCTTGCATACGCTTATTACACCTTTCAAGACAAGTGCTACGAGTTTATCAACCACGAAGAATACTGGGCAGAGGGGCAGTCCTACTGTGAGGGAAATGGTGGGAAAATGTTGGAGATCTACGACCAGGCGACCATGGATTTTATTCGGTATAATTTAGACAACGTGACGGGGTGGACGGAGGCCGGGGTGTGGATTGGAGCGACGGATTCCGCGGTGGAAGGCACGTGGGAGTGGCACTCTGGTGCGTTTGTTGACATGGTTTGCGTTTTCTTTTGATTTTTTTTTTCAGTTCTGAAACATGTTGTTGTTTGATTAAATAATTTCAATATTTTTTCTCATTTACGATGATGCAGCTGCTCCCTCTCTATCTCTCTTTCTCTCTCTTGCTCTCTCTCTCAATTTTATGTCATGTCTGTCTTTTAGAATTTAATCCTCTGTGTGTTTCAGAGATCATTTTCTAACAAAAAATAAAGGGTCTTTTACAAAAACAGTATTATAAACCATGCAATTTCTTCTTATCCGTATCCACTTTGCAATATTTTCCATCTAGGTTCCGTGTTCCACTATTCATACTGGGGTGAGGGGGAGCCTGTAGATTACTGGCCGCTGTATCATCGAGACTGCGGGCTTCTGCGTCGAGAGTACAACTGGAGATGGGCGGCGTATCCGTGCTACTCACTGGGTTACTACTACAAGTTCATCTGTATGTACGGTGCGTAAGTTTTATTGGCGGTTTGTGGGGTGTGGGAAAGGGTGTGTGTGGATGATTGGGGGCGGGGGGGGGGGACGTAACTTGGCGTTATTTTAATTGCTTACCAATTATTATTATATTATATTATATTATATTATATTATATTATATTATATTATATTATATTCACGCCTCTGCAAAGGTGCAGGGCGGTAGTTGAGCTCTTTGGATGTTTTTTTTTTATTTATTTAGAAAGACTTTTTTTAGAATTGAAAGACAACAAGGTTAAACGTCTTTTCGCTCTTTCAGACATGACTCCACTACCAAACACGACTACTGCTGCCACCAGCCTGACGTCATCGAGACCAACGACCGCATCCAGTACACTCACTCTTCCCTTTACTGCTCACACCCCCACGACAATTACCACACCTACTCCAGCAACTAATGCCACCACCACGCGTTCTACAACTACAGCACCNAGTCAACAGAAAAATTGCAGCCTTTTGTAGCTCCAAGTCTGACACAACCTTAGACGTTTTGCCATGTCGTTGGACCCGTGGGTTTACAATACACAAACCGTACTGTAAATTGATGATGATTGCAAACAGGCAATTTTCGGTTTTATTGAAGAGTAGTTATTACAAAGGTATCTTTAATGACATTATACTTCCTAAATTATGATTTATATGAGACTACTTACATAATGTCAAAAAAAAAAAAAAAAAAAGAAACAAAGGGAGAAACTGGTCCAAAACAATCTATCGTGCAATATCTCATTTGTTATAGTTTACTGACATGTTTGATCTTCCAGTATTTTTTGAACCCGTTTTTGCAATAGAATTGAGACACTGTTGCCTTAAAAATCTCTCTATCTCTCATTTAGTCTTATTATAAATGGTCCAATTTAAATGACAGCATTAGAAAATGTCAACATTAGTCTCTGTCTATGCTAAATGGTGTCCTTTATATTTTCTACATGTTTTAAATAGGGGAATAATAATCGCAAACAAAATAGAATGGGATTCGCAGAAGGGCGACAAAAATAGCATTCCTGATGTTAAATAAAGAAAGGGGTGTTTGGAATACAAATATAGCCTTATACACACGTCTCACGTCATCAGAAATTGGCACTGCAGCGGTCCCAGGTCTCCAGAATATTTCACCCCTCCTGATATATGAATAGGAATATTAATATAACCATGGCCCTGTTTATTTGTGTATGAATAACCTGCTGATGGATGGGCTACCTGACAATGACAGTAAAACGGGTTCAGATGCCATTATAATTGGAGCTATTGGGACAACAGTTTGTCGTGATGGTGGCGGTCAGGCATGTGCATAGTAAGTGTGCACGGTTACAGACATTCCTGCTGCAGCATGTAGCGTTTATTAAGGTACAGGTTCTAGGATGCTTTCATACTGTGGTATATGGCATACGTATGGCCTAATTGTGGAAGCCCGTGTCATATTATTCATATAAGCTTGCCACAGAAAGAGTTGTTCCTCGAAGTTACGACCTTGCATTGCTAAACACAGTAACGATAACGGCGGTATATATTGAAAACAATATCTAAACGTCTCAAAGAAAATCGAAGTATTATATTTGCTTTAGTTTCGTGTTTACGGGTCAATTAATACAAAGTTTAAATCGATGTTCATCGTTTTTTTTTCTTTAATTTTTTAAAAAGTCACATGACATCATCCATTTACCCGAAGTACTGCAGCTCGTTCCCTTACCCACTCCCCTTTTTATATGATCACATGAGGACAAGTGGACGATATCACACACAACAGAGCAGCGGTCTTTTCCACTGGGCGTGTTGGGACGCTTTTGTAATTTTCGTCACTGTCATAATTTGAGCCCCAGCACAGGAAATTTGTTATTCTTTTCGTCGCACCTTACCAGACTTGAACACGGAGCATCAGGTCTACTCCCCGTGTCTGTGTACATATTTTCTGTCATTCATAGACTCGGACAAATAGAGGGACTGTGCGTTTTTCGACAATTCACACATTTTGGATACTCATAATAATTTTTGTGCGATGCGTGGAATTATTTGATGCGTTACATTGCCTTTTTGTCTCGGATTGCGACTGAGAAAAACTGGATTGGATTGGATCGAATGCTCGTGTTATAAAAGTACTTTTATCTCACAAGGTCTATGAATTTGTGCTGCATTTAAAACACTCGACTCATCGTTGAGCATCTGGCTTTTACCTTTTGCACTACTTCCGATCAGAAGACGCAGGCTACAGCACCATACAGGGTGCCCTTGTAGGCCGAATAATAGAAAATTGAAGAGATTTTGCGGAATTATATACTACGATTGCAACAGAACAGTTGTTGAAAAAGATAACTGCACTTGTTTAGCTGTTTGCCATGGAAGTGTCTTACATTAAACTTTACTCAGTTTTTGCGTTGCTTCTTAGGATTTCTGTCCATGGGCAAGGTAAGTGCTCGTATCAATCTTTCAGCAATTTTTGTTTTCGTGGACAAAATGTTTTTGTTTCGGGTTTGCTTTTTATTACAAGGTCAAGAAAAAATTATCTTTTTTCTATATTGATTGCGTGTTTTCATTATAGATTATTATAGGTTATTATTAAACATTTTCCAAAATTCAGCTTACATTATTTAACGACGGGTCATGCATATTTTAGACGAAAATTTAAGCCACTTCAAGACAGGATAAGGTCATCCCTACCAATGCAAGATGAAGTGATTCAACGTGTGTGTGTTTGTGTGTCAGATAGAGAGAGAGGGGGGTCTGAGAGAGAAAGAGAGAGAGAGAGAACCGGTGTTACTAAATAAACCATAAACATATCAACATTTCTAAGGCCCTATAGGTATAGCGTTTACATCTTCATTCCCCATACTAACATCTTATTGTCTTAATGCCAAACACTCGGCCCCCAGCACGGGCCTGTATGCCACCTATCAAAAAACGCTTTCTTCTAGCCGTACATGTAATTTCAACCGTCACGAAGATGCTTATGAATCATACATGCTCCGCACCTATATTATTTGTTGCATATGGAGCTATGACAGCCACCTGTCATAAGTTTAAACGATTTGAAAGTGGATGCCTCCTTCGGTGCCGTAATCCCCGGGTCAGTGACGACCAGGTATGAGAAGGTGCGTGGCTATAGCGGTGTCCAGTTGGACCTTTAGCCTCTGTTACGTAGGCCAAATGAACGCTTGGAGAACGATTTTTTTTTTTGCATTCTTTGAACCCTTCATAGTTTATGCTTTGCTATTATTTGATGACCAAGATCAAATCTATCTAAATTACCTAGTTAAAAACTTTAGATATTGCAAACGTTTTTGTTGCTGCATTTGTGAGAGGGGGTCAAAATTCGTTCGATTTAAACAGAGCCAGGCGTGAGAAAAAATAAGCTTTTGTCCCCTTCACCATATATGAATATAAACACACGTGAAATGCATACAGCGTCACATACACTCGTACATGTAATTTTTTATGATTATCTGTTCTACTTTTCTATTGTATTGAAGTCAGTGACAGAGACAGGTGTCCTCCCAGGCTTGCATACGCTTATTACACCTTCCAAGAAAAGTGCTACGAGTTTATCAACCACGAAGAATACTGGGCAGAAGGGCAGTCATACTGTGAGGAAAATGGCGGGAAAATGTTGGAGATATACGACCAGGCAACCATGGATTTTATTCGGTATAAATTAGACAACGTGACGGGATGGACAGAGGCCGGGGTGTGGATTGGAGCCACGGATTCCGTGCTGGAAGGCACTTGGGAGTGGCACTCTGGTGCGTTTGTTGACATGGTTTGCGTTTTCTTTCGCTTTTTTTTCAATTCTGAAACATGTTGTTGTTTGATTAAATAACTTCAATATTTTTTCTCATTTACGATGATGCAGCTGCTCTCTCTCTATCTCTTATTCTCTCTCTTGCTCTCTCTCTCAATTTTATGTCATGTCTGTCATTTAGAACTAAATCCTCCGTGTGTTTCAGATATCATTTTCTAACAAAAAATAAAGAATCTTTTTCAAAAGCAGTTTTATAAGCCATACAGTTTCTTCAAGTTCGTATCCTCTTTGCAAAATATTCCAACAGGAGCCTTCTTCCAGTATTCATACTGGGGTGAGGGGGAGCCGGTAGATTACTGGCCGCTGTATCATCGAGACTGCGGGGTTCTGCGTCGAGAGTACAACTGGAGATGGGCGGCGTATCCATGCTACTCACTGGGTTATTACTACAAGTTCATCTGTATGTACGGTGCGTACGTTTTATTGGCTGTTTGTGGGGTGTGGAAAAGGGTGTGTGTGGATGGGGGGGGGGGGGGGGAATGGGGGGGTAACTTGGCGTTTTTTTGGCGGGTTTACCTCTCTTTTTTTTTTTTATTTATT